TGCCCCCTCCCTCATGAACCCTTCATAATTCATAAATTATTATTATTTTGTCATATCTTACACTGTCCGACGTGTCCCCTCGCCCACTTCTCTGTTGTCCATCCCCCAGGGAGGAGGTTTTACATAGATTCTTGTAATCAGTTCCTCCTTTCCATCCCACATTCCCTCCACCCTCCAGGCATTGCCACTCTCACCACTGGTCCTAAAGGGGTCATCTGTGCTGGATTCCCTGTGTTTCCAGTTCCTATCTGTACCAGTGTACATCCTCTGGTCTAGCCGGATTTGTAAGGTAGAATTTGGATCATGATAATGGGGGTGGGGGGGAGCATTTAAGAACTAGAGGACAGTTATATGTTTCCTCATTGCTACCTTGCACCCTAAAGAAGCACATCAGCCTGTGTGACCGCGAGCTGTCGAAGGGATCAGGTATCAGACATCAAAGAACAAATAATCATATCATTGTAAATGAGGGTGAGTGTAGAATGGAGACTCAAAGCCCATTAGTAGGAAACTGGATACCATCTTACTGAAGGGTTGTGGGGAGGAGCTGATACCTTTTATGATTTGAAGTGCTTTCACACATTTTCTCCCTCTCTATCTAGGATCTCCTAATGTGATCCATTTCAGAAGAACTGGTGGTTCTTGTGGCCTTAGGGTTGTAGACACTAATGTTTCCATGGTTCATTAGTCGACTGGACTAATTATTTCATGTGATTTTCATTTATCTACTTTCCACAATGTCATATGATATTTCTAGTCCCAGTTTTTGTTTTAAGCAGTGCCATAGCATCCTCCACGATGATTGCAGTATATGATGATCAGTCTCTTCATCTTCACCAGCTTTGTTGTTTTCTGTTCTTCTGAACTTCACTAGTAATGCTGAGCTAAGGCAATAGCGCACTGTTGTTTTTATTTGCATGTACCGAATGGCCAATGAACATGAGCTTTTCTTCACAGATTGGTTAGCTGCCTAAATGTCTTCTTTGAGATAGTGTCTGTTCATGATCCCTGACCATTTCTTACTTGAGTTATTTGTCTTTTTCTTGTTGAAGTGCTGAGATCTCCTGTAAATTTTAGAGATTTCTCATTGAAGGGAAAAAAAATCTTAGTTTGTGGGTTCTCTTTCAATAAAATCTTTTGGTGCACATAAATGCCTAATTTTTACAACATCCTTGTAATCTTTTTTTTTTTTTTAAGAATTTTTGCTTTGCTTTCTTTTATTTGCTATTTGGAAGACTCAGAGAGTTTTGTTTTTTTTCACAGCGTCAATGTCATTTTTATTTTAATCATTTTAATCATACAACTCTTATCACAATCCATACATACATCAATTGTGTAAAGCATGTTTGTACATTCATTGCTCTCATCATTCTCAAAACGTTTGCTCTCCAACTAAGCCCCTGGCATCAGCTCCTCATTTTTCCCCTTCCTCCCCGCTCCCCCTCCCTCATGAACCCTAGATAATTTATAAATTATTATTTTGTCATATCTTGCCCTGTCCGACATCTCCCTTCACCCACTTTTCTGTTGTCCATCCCCCAGGGAGGAGATCACATGTAGATCCTTGTCATCGGTTCCCCCTCTCCTCCCCAACCTCCCTCTGCCCTCCCAGTACCGTCACTCTCACCACTGGTCCTGAAGGGATCATCCGCCCTGGATTCCCTGTGTTTCTAGTTCCTATCTGTACCAGTGCACATCCTCTGTTCTAGCCAGACTTGCAAGGTAGAATTGGGATCGTGATAGAGGGTGAGGAGGAAGCATTTAGGAGCCAGAGGAAAGTTGAATGTTTCATCGTTGCTACATCACACCCTGACTGGCTCATCTCTTCCCCGAGACCCTTCTCTAAGGGGATGTCCAGTTGCCTACTAATGGGCTTTGAGTCTCCACTCTGCACTCCCCTCCTCATTCACTATGATATGATTTTTTTGTTCTGATGATGCCTGATACCTGATCCCTTCGACAGCTCGTGATCGCACAGGCTGGTGTGCTTCTTTGTGGGCTTTGTTGCTTCTGAACTAGATGGCCACTTGTTTACCTTCAAGCCTTTAAGACCCCAGACGCTATATCTTTTGATAGCCAGGCACCATCTTTCTTCTCCACATTTGCTTATGCACCCATTTGTCTTCAGCGATCGTGTCATGGAGGTGAGCACACAATGATCTGATTTTTTGTTCTTTGATACCTGATAACTGATCCCTTCGACAGCTCGTGATCACACAGGCTGGTGTGCTTCTTCCATGTGGGCTTTGTTGCTTCTCAGCTAGATGGTCATTTGTTTACCTTCAAGCCTTAAAGACCCCAGACACTATATCTTTTGATAGCCAGGCACCATCAGCTTTCTTCACCACATTTGCTTATTCACCCCCTTTGTCTTCAGCAGTTGTGTCGGGAAGGTGAGCATCATAGAATGTCAATTTAATAGAAGAAAGTATTCTTGCATTGAGGAAGTACTTGAGTGGAAGCCCGATGTCCTTCTGCTACCTTAATACTAAACCTATAAATATATGCACATAGATCTACTTCCCCGTCCTCATACATAAATATATTTGCATATGTACATGCCTTTATCTAGACCTCTATGAATGCCCTTTGCCTCCCAGCTCTTTCCTCTATTTCCTTTGACTTTCCTCCTGTCCCACCATCATGCTCAGTCCCACCTGGGTTTCAGCAATTCCTCTTGGTTACATTACCCTTGATCACACCCTAACAGGCCTCCCACACTCTCCTCACCACCGATTTGGATCACTTGTTGTTCCCTTGTCCCTGGGTTTGTTAACACCGCTACCTTTCCCCCCACCTCCCCCTCTCCCATGTCCCCCAGGATTGTTTGTCCAGCCTATCTTATTTAGAAAGACCTGCGGAGATAATAACATGCACAAAAACAAGACAAAGCAAAACCAAACAACAATATACGTCTTCTGTTATTTGTATGTTTTTTCATTGTTTAATAATGTGTGCAGCCATATATTAGGACACCTAAATTTCTCCCTATTGTGTTTCATTGGTGATATCACAGTACTAGGTTTTACATTTAGGTCTTTGATTTGTCTTGTTTGCTTTTGCATATGTTATGTGTCCTCTTTCATTCTTGGCAAAGGGATATCCGATTTTGTCAGCAACATTTGTAAAAAGAGACTATCTCTTCCACATTAGGTGTGTTTGGGCTCTTTGCCAACAAACAGGTGTCTGTAAGTGGACAGTTCTGTTGCACTGATCTAGGTATCTATCCTATACGGGTACCATGCTGTTTGGACTACCATGGCTATGTAACAGGCTTTGCAACTGGGAAGTTGCAAAAGGTCTCCTATTCTGTGCTTCTTTATCAGTGTTTTGCTTATCCCAGGGAATAAGGGCAATTCTTCTCCCCTTTTCAGTTATTCTGACAAATTGGAGACCCCACACAGTATCACAGAGTCATCTGTTTCAGAAAACCTGGGTGAATGAATGTTCTCACTCTGAGACAGAAGACCCTTATGAGTATGAATAAATCCCTCCCAATTTCTGGAGGCATTTTCAGTAGGGAATTAGAAAACCCATACTCCCGTGATGATTACTACACCACCTGTGACTTCCATTAAAACATCATGTCTTATTTTCTGGGTCTCTGGTTGCTTGTCAGTTACTTCAAATTTTGAGATTCTTGGCTGGATCCTTTCAACATTACAGATAAAAACAAAAAGCCTGAATTATGAGTCTTCTGGAGAAGGAAAGGAAACCCACGTGGTGCCGTGGTGAAACACCCGGTTGCTTATGAAAGGCTGGAGGTTCCCGGTCACCGGAAGCTCTGTGGGAGAGGGTGTGACATTCTGCTTCCATGAAGATGACAGCAGTGGACACCCTGTCCAGTGGGGTTTCTTTGAGGCATCATCGATTCAATGACCCATTGGCAGTGGGTTTGGAAGATAAGGCAGGGAAATGAAGGCCTATAGGCATGCAGTCGCCCTGCATTATATATTTTTAATCATTGTATATATTTTAATAAAAATATAAATTGTGGTGTTAGGGGTTAAAGGTTGCCATTGAGTCCATACTAATTCAGGAAAATCCCTTGGGTTACAAAGAACACGGCTCTAATGGATTTCTTCACTATAATCTTTACAATACAGATCACCAGGTCTTTCTTCTGTGGCTCTACTGGATGTGTTTGAACTGCCAACCTTTAGGTTAGTAGCTGAGTGCAATTTGATTTCAGTGTGTACAAGGGGGGGGGGGGGGCGCCAGAGCCAGGTGTAGTTGCCAATAAGAGAAACTTTTGTTAGATCTCTCGGAGGGAGAGATGTACCTCGGTCCCTGCCTCCGCACGAGAAAGAATTCACGCTGAAGCCTGCTTTGTGATCCGAGTGAGTTTTATGAGAGAAGTTTCAGGTTTACACAGGCACCCGCGGGGCCCCTCACTCCATTCAGCCTCCCTAGAAGCTGCTCAGAAAGTCACACGGTCTGCCCCGGGCTCCTGCCCTTTTCAATTATTCCATGGGTAGGCGTGGTGGACAACCCTGGTTGATCCCATTGGTTGAATTGAATTTACCTGGCCTAGGTGGGCCAATCCAGGTACAGCGCCCACCCAGGTGTACCTCCCCTTCCTGGCCGGAAACCTGAACTTCTGAACATGCGCAGTGTACCACTCCTTCATGGCCGGTAGTTCGGACCTCTGAGCATGCATCATGGGTTCCCCAGTCCCAAAGCTAAACTACCTAACACTTTCAAGATGCATGACAGGGCCTCAGGACCATAATTGAGGCTTGATGAACACTTCACCCTGAGCTTCATGCACCCTGAGTTCCCGCGAGTGCAGGACAGTAGGACTGACAGTCTCACAGGAATGGTCTAACCTGTGCACATCTCCAGTATCTTCCACCACTGATTGGTTAATATCAAAGTCTCCCCCAAAGGAACCCTGGTCCTGTCCCAGGATGATGCTTGTCTCTGATCCCACAAAGTATCCTTTCATCAAACTCTTCCACACTCTGGGCTTCCCATTCACCCAGAATTCAACAATTCCTCAAATGGATTCCCAACTTGAACAGATGTGTAAAGGAAAGGTAGTAATCCCAGAAAAGTTGAATGATTCCTTAGTCCCACCTGTGGGATTATAAACAGACTTTTCCCCAGCTTTGTCTCCCCCAAACATATGCCAAACATTAGAGGCTGTTAACCAACACATGGTGGGAGGTCAGATGCTTAGAGATATTCTCCTTGAAGGCATCTGGTCCACTGTGGGTGGACTTCACACCCTACTGATAATGGTTTCCATGGAGAGCCAGAGAACAGGTCAAACCTGCTCAGTGACATCCAAAGTTAAACTGCCATCCCTGAATCTAGGATCTGCCCATCTTGTCACATGTGTACCCCCAATCCCTCCTCTTCCTATTGCGTGGATACCCCTAGATCATTCCCCTCTCATTACTGTATTACCTACAGTGCAACCCCTTCCTGTGACGTATGTCTTTACCTGTAATTAGAGGACTTTCATGCCCCCGAAGATATATAAGCCTGGGTTAGCAATAAAAAGCTCACCCCCATACCCTTCCTCTCCCTCCCTGACTCTTCCCATCCTCACTCCCCTGTTCCCTTTGCCCTTGTCCTCCTTCTCCCCCTCTCTCCTGCTCTCTGGTCTCTCTCTCCACATGGACCACCAAGTGAGGCTGCAGTGAGCATGCTACCATGAGATGACTCTGACTCCATTATTTCAATCTCTCTTCTATCTCTCATGCTCTCTATGACTTTACTATCATCTTTACTTACTATCGCTGTACAATTGCGCCTACCGGACCTGTGATGATGTGTTAGGGGCTGGCTCCCCTGACACCCCCCCTACTGTAAAAATGAATCCTTTACTCATGGACTGTAATATGAGGATTTTGTTATCTTGGTTCTGGGTGGAATAGGAGAATATGCGATAGCCATGGCTGAGTTTGTTATAGAAATAAAGGCACACAGTAAACGAACTAGTGGATATTTCTTCTGTGCTCTCATGGATACAGGAATTGTCTTGACTCTTTGGGGAACACAAAGGCCTTCTTATACATGTCTGTGAAATAGAAACCAAAAAAAGTAGAGATGAGAAACATCTCAGAATAAAAATATCTGTCTGTTCACTTAGCATGTTTGCGATTGATAAACAGATTCATCCCCTCTCCAGTTACACAGGCACATGCACACGGAGACACATGTACACACCTACACACACACACACACACACACACACGTGTGTGTGTGTATGCACGTGCACTAAATTTTCCTCTGATTTCATTTGTACAATGTTTGGTCTCATCCCTGCTGCCCATATCAACCCTCAGGCATAACCTGAGGTGACACTGGTCTGTCTGTCCAGAAACATTAGAAAGGCTGATCAAGACCAGGAAACACCACCAAATCTTCTCCATGGTCAGTTTCTACTACCAATGTTTGGGGTCTGGACTTAACCCCTGAAGATGTCTTTGGATGAAACTCAGGTACCAGATCCCTTGCCTCAAGTCCTTCCCCATCCTACCTGGATTTATATCCATGGTTGCAGTGGAGGTGGAAGGTAGTCTGTGCCATTATGCAAACTATTTTCCAATATCACCTCTTGGGGTCAAAAGTCAGGACTCTGAGAAGCAAAGACTAAAAATCATTGCAAAACAGAGAAAGTATTGTGGGTTGATTATTACAAACTTCTGTGACTACGGAACTGCCAGTTCTAATAAGGGAGCATTCCTTGGTAAGTTTACTTAATTGAAGAATGGCCAAGTATGTGCACATGATTGTGTCATCTCTGGTGCCTACTTCAGCCCAAGTCATGGCATTTGATGAAGGGAAAGCTCACAGCTACTGGAGAAGGACATAAACACTAAGCTCTTTTAGAAACTGCTCATGTACAGCTTGGGAAATGAAGAAAACAAATATGCCATTCACTGAGCCAAGGACAAATTGCTCTCAGTGAACTAGGTTTACTAATTAAGAATTCTCTAAGCCAGTGAAATATGCACATGGTCACAAATATTCCATATATCAGAGGTTCTCCAATCAGGCTATTTTCTGAATATGCAAAGCTTTAAAGAGGTGTAAATAACTGGGCTGTTAGTGTTGAAAACTGACTGGTCTCACCCTAAACACATGACCTCAAAACTCAAGTAGTTCATCTATATTACCTGGCAAACTTACTGACGTTTCCTACTGAATTCCTTTTCCAGAATGGCTATTTTGCTCCTTCTTTTCTTTCCTGAAAATGCCCCAAAACACACCTTGTTCTCAGCAAATAAAATCACTTCTTCATTTGGAAATTAGAAACAATCAGAAAATGACTTCATGGCAGAGGTATCTGGCAATTTCCAATATCCATCCAATACTTCTCATACAGAAAGAATAATACCTTTAACTGGATACATGACCACTCAATTAAACACTACATTTTCCAGACTCTCCTATAATTAGGAGTAACCTCCTGATTAACCAAGTTCTGGCCAATACAATTAGATGAGCAGAAATAGATAGAATTTCCAGGTTGTGCCCTTTACAGAGAAGAGACATGTTTGCCCTTCCTTCCACTTCTCTTTTCTTTTGATTAGTATTCAAACACAATAGCAGGAGCTGAAGAGCCACCTTTAACTCATGAGATGCATGCTACTTGTTGATAAAGGCACAACAAGAAGCTAGATGACCTGGATGATTGATGGTGGAGCTACTGTATCAGCCTACCTGAACTTTTATTTAAAGGAGGAATGTTATTCCCTTCTGTTAGATCATTATTACTTTCTGTCTTTCTGTTATAGCAGCCTCACTGATAACTTTACATATCCTCCTGCCACCGAATCCTCCCCCGCTAGTCCTCATCTTTATTCACATATTCTGTCTCCCTCCAGGGAGAGGAATCCTAGGTGTGGTGAGAAGAGCACAAAACCCACCGGTCACTCTGCAGGGGCACATTGTGAGAGTCCACTTCTGTAAAGATGTAGAGCTGTGGAAGCCCTATTTTACATATAGGGCCGACCTTTGAATTTCTTTGGTGCACCCAAGCCCCTCTCAGTTGCTCAAGAGATTTTGCTAGTGTAGATATCCTCTCTCTCTTCAATATCATTAATGTGGCCCTCTCACCGAATCATTCCCATAGACAGACAAATAGTCTACAATATGTTTAATAGTATACGGGAAGAAAAGAAGCCCAAGCTTCCCCATCCCTGCAGCTACCACCTGCTTTTTCTACTCATCTCTATTGCAGACCTCTTGAAAAGGGTTGTGTGTCTCCTCCATTTCCCCATCTCCTGAACTCTCGTATCTCTGTAAACTATGCATTTACTGCCACCATCCCGTCAGATCAACATACACAGACCCTCTCGTGTAAATGTAATAATCAATAATCATCTCAACTTCTCAAAAGCATTTGTCACTTCCTAACTTCCTCTTGCATATTTTCACATAGTTTAAAGTGTAAAATAATTGTAAAGTCTCAAGACTGAAAAAAAAAATGGTTTTGTGTCATCCTTCTCCACCCTTGGTTCCCAAGTCAAGCTGAGAGAGACACAAGCTCAATTACATGGATCCATTCTACCTCCATCTATCAGCTCCATATGAAGCTTTCTGGAGTCTTCTCGCCAATAAATTGTCTGCTTACATATTGTTAAACACTGTGGGCTAGGAGTCAGTCTGTTAACTGCAATGTCAGTAGTTCAAACCCACCAGCCACTCCATGGGAGAAAGCCGAGGCCATCTGAGCCTGTAAAGATTGATAGTTTCAAAACCATACATAGAGTCACTACAAGTCAGAATTAAGTCACTAGCAGGAGGTGTTCATTTATTTTTGCAAATTACAGTTAATTTTTTGAAACTTACATTTGAAGGAATTTAGATTAGTAAAAATATCTCCATTAGTAAAGTCCTGAATCCAAGGTATTTTGTTTCTAAACTGTTCATTGCTTGCCCTGAACCGATGCCCACAATGGCATCCTTGACACAAGAGTTCCCACCTCTGCCCCAGCACCATACCAGGTAAGTATGCCTTTAAGCTGAGTCGCAAAAATCGAAGCAAAACATTCAAGATAATAATGAGCAATGGCCACCACCAGGTTTCATTTTCTACTGTTTCATGCACAAAAACAAACTCCACAAGCTTGTGAATCTTTTTATACATGAAAGTCCATTTATGAATCAATGTCTCTCTAGTCCCCCAAATCATATTGATTTGCAAGACAAAATCCAGAAAGAAGTGGTTTCTTTATCCTTACTCTACTAATTTTATACCAATTCGTTTTGTTTTTCCCACGTGCTATCCTAATTAATTTATTAATGTAGCTTCTGCTGGGCATTTCCACTGTCTCATCACTATTAGCATGGCTGTTCTGCTATCAGCCAAATAGTACAGAGCCTTCTTGTATGCCTCTATTGCCATGTTTTAGACCTGTGGTTCTCAGCCTTCCTCATGCCACAACCCTTTCATACAGTTCCTCACGTTGTGGTGACCCCCCAACCATAAAATTAATTTTGTTGCTACTTCATAACTGTAAGTTTGCTACTGTTATGAATCAGGTGACCCCTGTGAAAGGGCCATTTGACCCCCAAAGGGGTCGAACCCCACAGGTTGAGAACTGCTGATTTATACAAACTATGTAATAAAACCATTTCTAGAAAATGTGGGCCCAAGGTCTTTGATCTTTTAACCAGATGAGAGGCTTTGCAGGTTTTCTGAACTAGGGAATGATAGATCTCCATTTTAGAATTCTAACGAGCAGAAATATGAAGGATGTCTTAGATTGAGAGATTATAAATATGGATAACACTTAGAAATGTATCTTCGTTCATTAATTCAACCAAGATATATATTTATGTGTATTTCTTTCTTTTTAAAAAAATCATTTTATTGGGGACTCATACAACTCTTATCACAATCTATACATCCATCCATTGTGTCGAGTACATTTTTACATTTGTTGCCATCATCATTTTCAGAACATTTTCTTTCTACTTGAGCTCTTGGTATCAGCTTCTCCTTTTTCCACTCCCTCACCCTCCCTCCCTCCCAAATCCTTGATAATTCATAAATTATTATTATTTCTTCATGTCTTACACTAACAGATGTCTCCCTTCACCCACTTTTCTGTTGTCCATCCCCCAGGGAAGGGGTTATATGTAGATCATTGCGATTGGTTTCCCCTTCCTCCCTCCACGTTTTCCTTACCCTCCTGGTATTGCAATTCTCATTGTTGGTCCTGAGGGGTTTATCTGTCCTGGATCTCCTGTTTTTCCAGCTCTTATCTGTACCAGTGTACAATCTGTGGTCTAGCTGGATGTGTAAGGTAGAATTGGGGTCATGATAGTGGGGGACGGGAAGCATTAAAGAACTAGAGGAAAGTTGTATGTTTCATCGGTGCTACAGTGCACCCTGACTGGTTCGTCCCCTCCCCATGACCCTTCTATAAGGGGATGTCCCATTGCCTACAGAAGGGCTTTGGGTCTCCACTCCGCACCCCCCCCCCATTAACAATGATATTAGTTTTTGTTCTGGGTCTTTGGTGCTGGATACTTGATCCTATTGACACCTTGTGATCATACAGACTGGTATGCTTTATCCATGTAGGCTTTGTTGCTTTTCAGCTAGATGGCCACTTGTTTACCTTCAAGCATTTAAAACCCTAGATGATATATATTTTGATAGCTTGGCACCATCAGCTTTCTTCACATTTGCTATGCACCCATTTTGTGTTCAGCAATTGTATTGGGAAGGTGAGCATCACAGAATGCCAGGTTATTAGAACAAAGTGTTCTTTTGTTGAGGGAGTACTTGAGTAGAGGCCCAATGTCCATCTGCTACCTTAATACAACCTATAAATATATGTACATAGATATATTCCCCTCTCATTATATATAAATATATTTACACATGCACATGCCTGTATTTAGAGCTCTGTAAATGTCCTTAGCCTCTTGGTTCTTTCCTCTATTTCCTTTTACTTTCCTCTTGTTCCACCATCATGTTTGGCCTTCATTTGGCCTAATTCCTTGTTGCTACATTGCCCTTGATTAAGCCCCACTAGGCATCTTGCACCCTTCTCTCCATTAATTTTAGTTCCCTTGTTGTCTCCAAGAGATTAATAAGAGAGCCCACACACTGGAAAAACATCTTTAGCAATGACACATCAGACAAAGACCTTACTACTAAAATCTACGATAATTTGCAAGCTTACAATAAGAAGAAAACTAACTGCCCACTAAGGAGGTGGGCAAAGGACCTGAACAGAAGTTTCTCAGGGGCAGAAATCCAAATGGCCAATAAACATATGAGAAAATATTCCTGATCATTAGCCATAAGAGAAATGCAAATTAAAACAACTATGAGATACCACCTAACGCCCTCAAAGATAGCCCAATTCAAAATATCAGAAAGTAATAAGTGTTGGAGGGGCTGTGGTGA